GTCTTCAAGTATTTAAAGGGCTGTCATGTTGAAAATGGAGTGGATCTATTCTCTCTCGCTCCGGATTACAAGACTAGTTCTAATGGGTGGAAATCACAAGGGAGTCGTTACTGGCTAAATATCAGGAGAAACTTCCTAACTGTAAGAGTGGTTGAGCAGTAGAACAGATTGCCTCGGGAGGTGGTGGATGCTCCTTCACTGGACAATTACAAACGTAGGCTGGACAACCATCTTTTGGGTATGTTGTAGGGCTATCTTTTAGCTATGCTCCTGCAGAGTGCAGGGGGTTGGACTAGATGACCTGCATGGAATATTGTCACTGATTTTTCTCAAGCAGAGGTTATAGGTGGTATATCTAAATATTTGCGCGGGGGGGGTCTCGATGGGGTCTGTTTCCCCATGTTAACCTCATGTCCAGCATATCAGCTATTTCCACCTTACATAGCAGTTATAGTTGTAGAAAAGAACTGTCATAGACATTGTGCTTACTTACTGAAATTCTTTCACTGAACTGTATCCTCTCAAAATAAGAATTCTTGAGGGCCTATGTGCCAAATAACGTAAACTGTCCAAATAATGTAAACTGTCTCTGTGTTTGCATTTGTAGGCTTTCCTGGGGTTTGCTGTATGCAGTGTACATCCTGATCCTATCCAGTTTCGTGACACCTGTTATCAACCATTTTTTGCTTCCCACAAGCAGCTTCTTTGCAATATTTCTTCTGTTGTTTCTTTATGGAATAGCATCTGTAAGTCTTTGATCTTTATTTTAAATGCACATAATGAATAATGGTAGATTGCCAAATTAGAGCTACTGAAGTATTTGATATCATCTTAAAGAAAATATTGCATTTTCCAGGCTGGTTCTGTCTGTAAACTGTTCAAAGGTACTTGGAAACAGTAGGGGCTTTTCTTCATCGGGGGTGGGTGTCAGTTCGGGCCTCATACTGCTTAGTTTAGCCCCTGATTTATACACATTTTCTTTGTGCCTTTAGTTTTTGCCTCAGTTTCTTTTGGGACCACTTTTACTCCAATGTGTTTTTGAAACTGATTTGGATTCACCTTTGCTCCTAGTGCACATTATTACATAGGGTTGGTTTGTTTCACCCATTCCTACCCACTTCTTGATTATTGGACTTCTGTCAGTAAACCATACCCTCTGTTTGGTGTAGTGGATAAGTGCGTGGACTCTAATCTGGGAGAACCAGGTTTGATTCCCCACTCCTCCACTCACAGCTGCTGGATGACCTTGGGCAAGCCATAGTTCTGATAAGAGCTGTCCTCGAAAGAGCAGTTCTCTCAGAGCTCTCTCAGCCCCACCTACCTCACAGGGTGTCTGTTGTGGGGAGGGAAAGGAGTTTGTAAGCCACTCTGAGACGCCGAGTGAAGGGCAGGGTATAAATCCAAACTCCTCCTCCTCCTCCTCCTCCTCCTCCTACTACTACTACTACTACTACTACTACTACTACTACTACTCTTCTTCTTCTCCCTCTGTGCCCAGAGTAATGTGTAGTTTCATTTTTGATCTTTTTTAAACAAGCCGCTCCAATGTCACTCTATCTCTCTATCACTATAAAAAGGATGGCACCACAGTTGTGTTTATTGCTCTTAGCACATTGCCAAAACCTGAGAAGTGTATTTTTGGGGGGAACAGTGGGAGGTGAATATACTGCTGGATTCAGCACAATCCTGTTCCTTGGTTGTAAAAACCCAGGACTTTTCAGAGGAACCCCCCACACACACACCCATGGTGTGAGCAACAAGATGAGTGGAGCTGAACTTCCCATGGCTGCAAATGGCTGCTACTACTCTTGTTTACATCAACCAGCCAGTTAACCTCCCTCCTCTCTGGCTACTTCTGGTCTGCACAACTTTTTAAACAGCTGCCTCTTCTTTTTCCTCCTCCAAAATTTTTTAAAATGCCACAGCCACAGTGAGAGTCAATTTTTTTACTTAAGCACACACAAACAGATACACAGCCCACTTTACAGGATTCTGTTTTCTGGAGTGTGGTGAATAACCTTCCTTTAGTGTTATATTGATATATATCAATATAGCACTTGCACAAAAAGTAAAAAAGGGGTGGTGCTGCTGTGATGCCACTGGTGATGACAGCACCTTTGGTCAAAAATCCTGATTATTTAAGGCATGTCCGGAAGAAAATAAGCTGATATCACATCTGGATAAATGGAGACAAAGGGCAGACATACAGAAGACCAATGCTCCCTCTAAGCTGTGGAGTCTTGGGAGCAAAAATTCTACTTTGTGAGCTACCGGCATTAAAGTTGTGAGCAAGTGATTTGGCTGCTGCATAAATTAGTTTGCTCTGGAGCCATCCTCCCTGAGCTAAGACAAAAATGTGTGTGAGCCAGAGGCTAAAAAACTGTGAGCTGGCTCACACTAACTCAGCTTAGAGGGAACACTGCAGAAGACCTGTACCCCAAATGATTCTGATGCTTGTGGATCAACTGGTAAGAAAACCATGAATGACTTGGACATGAAGTGTTCCATCTCAAACCAGATTTTAACAGGAATTCTGTTTGCTCAGGAAACAAATAGGCAGCCTTTAAACATTACAAGTCAGTGGTAACTGGAAACAAAAGTAAAAGAGCTATGGATGCTTACAGTGTGCATTCCATAACTCATTCCTTTCTATGATTCTCACTAGCAGGCTGCCTCTCCTTGCAACCAGCCCCTAGCCTGCACAGCTGCAAACTCATTTCTTCACCCTCTAAAAGGCTCAGCAGTGTGTAACTAGGGTAAAAAAGGAATGCCTTATAGAGCTGACACTTTTTTATTATCCTGTGCTCCACCAACAAAGTGGTTTACACAAGTATGCTGTTACAGTTACTCCCCCAGATCAATGGACTTTTTCCTTCATTTATGGTTAGTAACAGTCACAACTTCAAGCCCCCAAAATTGAGGGCCAAGCAGTACTTTTCTCCACTCCGCTGCTACCTTCTATTTTGCCTAACTAGTAGATCCAATGGGACCCCTCCAGGCCCCTTCTACTGCCTTTCTGCTGTCACCACTCAAAGCTCCTCACCACACTACTCCTCTTGCATGTACAGTATCAGTTTGCAGTTCAGTTTAGGGGGAAATTGCTTTCTGCCTTATTCCTGTTAAATGGGTAACTGAAATGAGTGGTTAACGATATACTGTAAACCCAGTTTCTTTCAATTAAAAACCTAAAACACATTTCTCGAACAATGTGACGAACTCATTTTGTACAAAAGACATTGGAGAAACATTAGTATGAATAAAGAGGCCCTCGGGATGATATTTCTGCTCTCTGGAGCACTTTCACTTGTTCTCATGCCATTTTGGCCCAGGCTCTTTATGACTAATTATATCCAATGGAGTTACAACTTGCTGATCAGGTCTTATGGTTGCTGAGGGGCATTAAGAAAAAAAAAAAGAACTGTGCTGTGTATTTCCCCCCCCCTTACTTTTATCTTTAGGAGAACCTGTTAACATGCTAGTCTTCTCTTTATCCAGTACAGCTGTTAATTAAGACAGCTCAGCTGTGCCGCTCTAGGCAAAATAAAAACCAGGTGGTTCCTGCAATGACTTTCCAGGTAGATACCCCCCCTCTAGCCCTCATTTAGTCCTTCAAAGTTGCTTTTTTTTTACACGAGCCAGTCTCTTCCTTACACCCTCGCATGCAGAAATCTCCCTTTCTGCGAGAGAAAACAAGGATGACGTAGGTTCAAAACAATTCCCTGGCAATGTTCCCTCTAAGCTGTGGAGTCTTGTGAGCAAAAATTCTACTTGATGAGCTACTGGTATTAAAGCTGTGAGCGAGTGATTTGGCTGCTGCATCAATTAGTTTGCTCTGGAGCCCTCCTTCCTGAGCTAAGACAAAAATGTGTGAGCCGGAGGCTTAAAAACTGTGAGCTAGCTCACACTAACTCAACTTAGAGGGAACACTGTTCCCTGTTATTACAGAATTTCTAACCCAACTTTGGGCCCTTCTTGTGAGGCTGTTGGCAGGTTTTGTTTTGTTTTATAATTTGCTTCTCATTCACTAGGCTTCCTCTGTCATTTTATTCTACTTCAGCAAAACATCTTGAGAGGAGTTAGCTAATAAATTTTCTTTTCCCTTAATATGTCTCACCTCAAATGAAAAATCTTGTAGAGACAACACCCATCTCAAAATCCTGGCATTGGTCTCTTTCACCTTGTAGATGAAGACCAATGGACTGTGATCTGTCTCCAGTTGTGTAAAGTATCCACCCCAGACCACGTGCGTGGCCATTTCACCACGTGGTCATGCAAAGCGGCTGAGCTTTGCTCTAAGTAACAATGGGACAAACGGATCCTAGTCAGCACCTATCGGCAGGCTAGGCTCCCGGCCGAGAGCCTATGGAACTCTCAGCCACTGTAAATAGCCAATCACTTGTGTGTGGGTGTGTTTTGGGTGCGGGGTTGTTGCACATATAAACCAGCCTGCGAGCTGGTTAGTTTGTCTTGTTCTTGATCTAATAAAGTACGCTAAGCTGAAATCACTCATCCGTCTGTGTACTTTTCAAGTTGAAAGTGTACACCCCTCAGATATGTCTTAAGCTTATTTAACCCCCACACTACTCCCAGGGCTTCCTGCTTGATAGCACTGTATTTCTGATCCCTGTGCAATAGCTTGCAACGCAGGCATACTACTGGATGGTGGCAATCATCTTGCCCTTTCTGCAATAGAACCATGCCCAAGCCATACTGGCTAGCATCAGTGTACACGATGAACTCCTGGGAATAGTCCAGCAGTTTGAGGATTGAGGCCTCTACAAGCCTCCTCTTTAACGTGTTGAAGGCTCTTTGACACTCAGGTGTCCAGGGCACTCTCCCAGATATCCTTTTCTTACATAAATTCGTAAGTGGTGCTGCATGATGTGAGAAGTTAGAAACAAATCTCTTATAGAATCCACATACCCCTAGGAAACTGAGCACCTGCTTCTTGGTGGTTGGAATTGGCCAATTAATAATCACATTTACTTTTGCTGTGTGGGGCTATCTTCCCTCTCCCCAGGGGTCATTTCATAGAAAAAGAGGTGCAGGAGCTCATTAGCATACATATTAGCATAATGACTCATTAGCATATGTCATGCCCCTTGACATCACCAGAAGTGTGTCAGAAAGGGAAGCAAAAAGGGGGGAGGCATCTTCAAAAGCCTCCCCTTCTTTTCCCCAGCTGGCATGCCAAGGTGGGTGGGTGGGGGGAAGCGGTGACGCAATATTTCCATTGTATTCTATGGCTCCATGGAATACAGTGGAAAGATTGTGCTGCTGCTGCGGCATGACTCTAGATAGAAAGAGCTGGGGGCGGGGCTTGCCTCCACCACCATTTGTGCCCACTCTTGGGCTACGGGAGCATCACTCCGGCTCGCTCCAGCCCCAAATGACCCCTGCCACTCCCTATTTGGTGGCCCAAATACACAACTGGGCTACTGGAAATTTGACATTTTGAAGGCTTAATGGTTAATCCTGCCTCTTGAATTCTCCTTAATACAACTCTTAGATAATCCAAATGCTGTGACCAAGATGAACTGGTCACTGCAATATCATCCTGATAGCTCCCTGCAAAATCTAATCCCTGCAGCACTTTGTCCATTAATCTCTGGAACACCTTACTAGCAGAACTGATTCCAAATGGGAGCACATTGAAACGGAGTTGCCACATGAAGCATGAAAAGGCTGTTCTATCCCAAGTTCTTTCTTTTAGCGGTAAATGCCAAAACCTGGATGTGAGGTCCAA